TTCTTAATGTTTTATGAAGTTTATTACTTTATTTTGCCATCTTTGATGTTATCTTAGCTAAATCTCTATTTGCATGACTTATTTTGCTTACTCCTGCATCAAATAATCTCTAAAAATTCTTGAAGTCCCTCAACGTATTAAACTAAACCCTAAAAATAGAAGGTATTTCACAATGAAAATATAGTTTTAATTCTGCCATTAAGTTTTTTTACATGCCTCAAAATCCCTATTTATTAGCAAAAGTCGCTTGAAAATTCATTTTAAACAATCATAAAATAAAGGATTTGCTTTTTGAGTCATAGGAGTCGGCTTTCCTGAAAGAAATAAAGGAGTTGCACTTGATAAGCTGCAGGAAGCAGTAATAGAAAAAGCCACTATATTAGAAATCCGAAGAATTGATAGTTTAAGAAATTTACAAGAGGATTGTAAGGAATATTCTTGGCTACAATGAGACGAGGATCTATAATAAATCAAACTTTCATGATAAGGTAAAAATTTTAGGTATGTACATCTAGGCTCACTCTATATTTGCAATTGATTAGAAACTAAAATAAAATAAAATTCAAATAAACTTCACTTTACGGATTAATTATTATAACATAAGTATTTTACAATTTCTATGACTACAAACTTTGTGATTTACATCAGATGCACTTGGCTTGGATAAATTCAACTTGGAAGTACTGTTTAGTTGATATTACATTTCCTACAAAGATATTCATGATTTAAACAAGTCAACTATTATGCAATGACACTTTTACTCAAAAAGGTATGCATTGTACGACATGTATTGAACACGACACGCATCTGACAAGCCTCTGATATGTATTGGACACGCTGAAGACGTGTCATATTAAAAATAAATTGGACATGTATGTCTTAAATATTTTATGAAATATTTATAATATAATTTCTTATATTTCAAAATTTTATTTAATAAAAAATAAAATAATTTTTTTTTATTTCCTCTCAACAATCCCAAATCAATTTCCTGTACAGAATACCCCATTCCCCAAACATTTCCACTTTCATTGCTCTTTGGCAGATCGTGACTAGAGTTTCACAATATTGCTCATCGTCACAACATCAATATTTCAAAACAATATCAAAAACGAAGTTTAACTGCAACAATTTCTACACCCACAATCATGCCCTTGTATCGTATGGGCATCTCATTTTGACCAACATCGTCTCAACATAGACAACCAATACCGTCTCGACTAATGATATCATTGTCATCTTCCATCTTGATGCTTGAACACAACAATGCCGAACTCTCAATATCCGAAAACAAATTATTTTAAGCACCAATCATAGTTAAATGATTTATTATTTCTCAATTATTCTTAATATTCTATTTATTCAATTTTTATATACTATTTCAAGATATAAAAATTATAATACCGTGACCAACCCATGTTCATGTCTTATATCTTTAACAATTGAAGTGTTCCGTATCCGAGTCGTATTGTCGTGTCCATGTCTGTGCATCATAGCATGTCAAAAAATAACAGTCGTTCTATTATTTCTCCTTCTTTAAAGCTCTATAATGAGCCTTATATATTGCGTCCATAGAATTATAGTGTAATTTATGCTTAATTTCTTACCTAAAGCCTTTAATAAAATTAATAAAAATAAATAATGTAATAGCCTTTATGGATTAGCTGTAAATTTTTCATATCTAAGAAATATTCAAAAACATTATATTCACCTTGTTGAAATTTCTTAAAATTATTTTGCAATGATCAATAAAAGTACAACAACAACATCAAGCCTATATCCCACAGTGGGGTCGGCTACATGAATACTTTTATCCATTGTGACATATTAAGAGTCAAATTCTCATTTAATTTAATAAATAAAGTTTATTTCTAATATTTTCTAACCAAATCATTTTAGGTTTACCTCTACCTTTGTTAACATAGGTCAAATTCAATACATCTATTCTCCTAACCTAATCATCGGAAGGCCGATTTTTTGTATCCAAACCATCTAAGGAGACTCTCTATATTATTATCAGCCATTGAAGCTACTCCAACCTTTTGACATATGTACTTGTTTCGCATTATATCTCTAAGAATGACGCCACTAATCCACCTGAGCATCCCCATCTCTGCAAAACTTAACTTAATTTTATGTTTCTCTTTTAACGGCCAATAATCTGCACCATAAAACATTGCATGTCTCACCACCATCTTATAGAATTTTTCCTTAAGTTTGAGGGGTACTTTTTTATCACACAAGTCTGATGCATTCCTCAACTTAAACCATCCAACTTGAATTCTACTAATAATATCCTCATCAATTTCACCATCACTTTGAACAATAGACGCAATATCAACAGAAGCAATGCATGATAAGTATTATTCTCTAAGTTTATGTTTGATAATAGCCCACGATGAATTAGTTTAAACAGTAACATTTTCTCAAAATATTTGAGCAAATACCATTAATTGTATTTTAACAAATTCAAGTATTTGAAAATTGAATAAATTATATATTTAAAGAACATTTCCAAGTTATCATTCCAATTAAAAGAAAAATACTACTGGGTTATGGATAATTTTATGGAGACAAAAAATTTAGCTATTTACTATAAATTAATGAATAGAAATTAAGGATCAAGAATGCCACACATGCATTTTTAAATTCATGCACTTGTAGGACAACGAGATTTTATCAATCTTGGCTAGACATAAAAGCATGAAATATCAAAGAAGAAAAAAATAAAAGAGAACAAAAATTACTTTGGGTAATAATTCACCAGATTCCACCCTTGAATAAGGAGATAACCATACTCGAAATTATTTAAGCCTTTGACTTGATCAAGAAACTAAAACCCTAGGCAGAAGGAATTTAAAATTAAAAATAATAATAATTTTATGTAGCAACAAATTGAATTTTTATACATGGCCATGATTCCTATTTATGATCACGAAATTAATTAGAATTTCCCTTTAATCATATACAAAATAGAAGATTCACAGGTGACTCATGGAAGCAGATTCATCCGGAAGAAATAGAGTTGCACTGATTAGCCACAGGAAGGGACAAGAGAAAAAGAGATTGGAACATAAGTTACGGGAATTATCAGCAAAGAAGGCTATTGGAAGATAATTCACTTGAACAAAAGCCCCGTGAGCTACTCAATAGTGCACTCGGTCATACCTGAGGCAAAAAAAAAAAAACCCATCTGCCTTCCAAAATTTACCCTGGAACTTATTCTTGTTAAAACTCCCCCTCGCATAAAAAAAAAAAAAGAAATCGCGCAGCGAGTGGAGGCCGAGGCCAAATTTTCGGAGCCCACAAGTATGAAAAAATAGGTAAGGGACATGACTAACGCTTTGCTAGGGTTTCCGCCCTAGCCGAAACTCTTTCCCCCCTAAACTCCCTTGGATTGTAAGTGAGTAGGCTTAGAAAATTTCGGTTGCGTTCGATCTTAAGGTCCAAATTGATGACATCCTACAGCGTCCAATACGGTTGTAACTAGACAACATGTTCCATAGTAGGTTGAAGACCCTCTAGAAATCTTGCAATGGTATTTTCCATTGGTTCATCAAGATCGCATTTCAGCAATAGTTGTTCAAACTCGGCCACATTCTTCTACGAAAAGTTGGTGCTGCTGGAGATGATGTAGCCTCAAGAACAAATCTTGTCACTATTCATCGGTGAGATACTTACGCCGTAACTCTTTTCTCATCTTTTCCCTGCTAGTGATCTTGCTCCTATCCTCTATGGCTCGAGTGCGCTTCAGATTTTCCCACCAAAGGGAAACCCTCTTCTTGAGCTTGATGTCCACCAGCTTAACAACCCTCTTGGCAGGACTTTCTTTGAAGTCAAGAATTTGTTCTACGGTGTGTAACCAATTCAAGAACTCATCAGGATCCATCCTTCAAATTCGGGGAGGTCAATCTTAATGTCGTTATAGTCTCGAAAGGGAACACGTCCTAGAATGGGCCTTCTACGGAGATCTTCTTCTTCACTAGATGTTTCGCGGTGGAATGGATTGACATCTTCTTCTTCTTGGTGGCTGCATGCCTCTTGTTGATCCCTTCTAGCCAATTCTTGTTGTAACCGTTGAATTGCTTGCTGCAGATCTTCAACCACCATGTCTCGTATAGGATGTTGGTGATTTCTTTGGGGTGGCATCTTGCCAGCTCTGATACCAGATGATGTCGTGCACTATATCAGGCAGGGCGACAATTTGGATTAGCGCTTCAGAGGCGCTATAGGGGCGTTTGTTTCTCGGCCTGAGCTTCACCACTTGAGACAAGTCAAGATACAGAGAATGGAGGCGAGCGAACACACAAGGGAAAACAGAAAAGAACCAATTTCTGGAAACAATCTTAATCTGTCTTTATTCAACAACTTGGGCCTATATATATATAATGTATTTTAACGAAAAGAGCCATAAGGAAGCCACACAAAAGGCTATACAAAGAATTATAAGAGTGTATCTTCTAATAGCTAATGCGTCAATAGGAAGAGTGTGCATCTCATGTGAATGTAGTTTTCATATTGATAATATACATTATAATAAATTATAGTACTTCAATCTGTGAGTTTTTTTCTTAGTGTAGCGACTTCAGGAAACATATTTTGGCATTTTATAAGAATAAGAAAGGTTCATATAACTGAGTAATAGTGAAAAACAATTGACAGTTTGAAACTGCAATTTATTTTTTCTCTACGACAACCTCCCTTTTCAAAAAAGAACTAAAATAAATATTTATTTGACTAATAAGATTGATTTATATTGTACTACCAATATTTATTTTTTCTCTCCTTTGCAACTGCATTTCTCGTTTGTGGAGCATCTATAATTGGCATGAAATCAAACTCTTGATATCCATAACACTTTTTTCTTACTCATTACAGCTTCTGAGAAACTGATTATTCCATTAGTATAACTCTTTTTTCTTAATAAAAATGTATTACTTTTGTCTCTGAGGCAGCAAATGCCATATGGAGATTTTGTAAGTGGACCTCTTTGAATGCAGAAATATCGCATGTACTTATGTAGACTACAGAAGCAGAATGAAGCTAGAGATTTTACTGGCAATAAGCAGCCTGATCACTCTCCAGAGGATCATTCAGTGAGCCTTGGCATTCAGAACCCTAGAAGTTCCCATCACAATGGTGGAGGGCACAAATCTCAAAATATCCAAGGGCTGGAAATGATAGATGATTTTCAAGAAAGTGAATTAAACAAACCAGACTTCCTTCCAGTAAAGGATAAGAAAGAAGATCTTCATTCCCAAAAGGCAAATAATTCTCCTCTGCCAGGTCCACCGCTGCAAAAAGGATGGCATGAAAGCGTTCTACTAAGACAATTCATGCAATATCCAAAGCATGATCATGAGCCATTTAGCTTGTTGGAAGACCACTCACACCCTACACAAACCGAAGAACCTCTTGTCTCAATTATTAGCAATGAGAAAGAAGGAACCGAATTCGATATCAAACCTTCGGTAGTAAATCGTAAAGACTGCCACATGAAAATCATATCAACATATGAAGATGACTCGGTTTCAACTCAGGTGGAGCATGTTAATTCCAAAGTGTTTGGAGCAGCATATGAACATAACAAATTAGTGGGTTCAAAGGAGCAGCAATATGAGCAATCTAGAGTTCATGATTTGATTCCTCCTTCAATATATCTTAATACAAAGAATGAAATAGATTTGATTGCATTACCTGAAGACTTGAACCTGCCTTACCTTCAGGGAATTGGTTGTGTTGAGAATGTTGGCTTCAATGGCATGGAGTTACACCAGTATAATAGTTGTGCATCACTTACAGAGCTACAGAATAATTCGTATGATGAAATTGAACTCAACTGTGAGTATTGGTATGATCCTTTGGAATACCCTTTTCTAGATGAGTGCCTTTTTGCATAATAATTGAGTGTTTTATTCATAAAGAAGGTTCATGTTTGAGAAATTTATGTATGGGACACTTTTTTGGGAACTAATATCTTTCACTCTGCCTCAAATTTCATGGACTAATGTCTCTAACTTTTCTGTTTGTTTTCGGTATTATATTGACTATGTATGTAGAAAAGTGTCATGAACGTATAAAATATTCCTCTCGAAAATTATTTTAATGGTTATCCTGCAATTGTAAATGATTGATCTTGTCTTTTAAATTTGTGGGCTCTGAAAATTCTCGTCTCGGCCTTCCCGTGATCTCTTTCTTTCTTCCAGGTCATTGAGGAGAGTTCTAACATTTGAGTTCCGAAGCAAATTTTTAGAAGGCATATTGGATTTTGAAGTAATATACTACCCAAAGATTTCACCCTCATTTTGCGAGGACTTTATGATATGAGTTTTGGTTTCCTATAGGCGCAAGACCCTATAGTTAATTACCCCTCCCGACAACGAGAGTGAACTTTGGATTAAGGCTAGTCGTCAATCAGATACGTAGAGATATGTGGTATCTGGCATATAGTATTAGCATGAGTTTAGTATTGGAAATTGGATATTTAAAATTGGAAATGCAACATCTTGCACTTAAAGTGGAAGGTCGGAGAATGGATGATGGACCTAATCAAGATCCCATGATTTCGTCATCCCGGGTCATCGTGGTCCTTGGTCTACTTAGTCAGAGGAGGTAGTTGACCCAACCTAAAAAAAGGATCCTTGTTGGCAGCCATTGGTTGTGTAGTCTAAGGGTACCTTGTAGACCTATGGTGGATATTTATCTAAGGGGACAAATTTGAATCCACTTTAGCTAACATAGGGCATTGGAGCATAGAGGCTCTGACCATGATCGTAATTTAGTGGTGTCATTTAGCGACAAAACAACACGATTTAAAGGGCCTCAATCATAAATGTTTACCTGCGGTGCCATTTGGCAGCAAAATCACCGGTTTGAGGATATGTGTCGCATCCTTACTGAAAGGAGATGATTTGAGAATGAGTCATAGTAATATTTTTTACCAGACATTAGCTCTTAGTGTCGGCAAACTATTGCAGAGGGTGGATGTATTTTACTTTAAGTATTTGATAGTTGAATTTCGATTTTAAATATCTAAAATTTGGAATATTTTTAGAGTTTTTGGATCTTTGCAATTTTTAATGTTTGATGGGTATTTGTAAAGCATTTTAAATGTTTGGAGTATTTGGAATTAAATCTCTAGTTGAGATCTACGTTCAACACAACCATCATTGGGGTATATGGGCATTTGGATATTGTTAGTTGGACCTTGTCGACCCTGTCCACTTGTTGACAGGGGATTGGGTCCATTGTCGGCTTCATGCCTTTGTTAATGAACTTTGGATGTTCATCAGTCTTGAAGGCTTAGTATGAACTATAAAATGAATATTTCAGTTGACTATCGTACATTATTTATTATTTTTTGTAGACTATCATACACTACTTATTACTTTATATATGTAACTTGTTTTACACTAATGAATCTCCTGTTATTGTTCGTAGGAGCTTGCTCTTTATGTAATTCTTTCTTCTCTTCTTACTGACAACATGTTGGATGTGAAACAGGTCTCTTGCGGTGACCCATAACCATTTGCATTTGTTGCCAATTGATCTTCTTTTGCTTGCAGGGAATTTGTGTATTTGGCTTGTGTGTATGATATAAATACAATTTCCTTAGTTACAACAGCTTGTAGATGCTTTATCCATTATGGGCTCCAAAAATTCGGCCCCGGCCTCTGCCTGCTACTTTTCTTCGGGGAGGAGTTTTAACGAAATTAAGTTCTGGGGTAAATTTTGGGAAGGCATATGGGTTTGTAGATAAGACACTATCCAGAGATTTCGCCCTCATTTAATGAGGACTTTATAATCTGAGTTCTAGTTTCCTATAGGTGCCAGCCCCTATAGTTAATTACCCCTCCCGATCACAAGACATAACTTTCGATTAAGGCTAGTCGTCAATCATATGCATTGTATCCATATATACGTAGTATCAAGCATATATTAGCAGTATGAGTATGGATATTTGAAAATTGAAGAGTTTGATATTTAAAAATTGAAATTGCACCATCTTGCACTTAAAGCGGATGGTGGGCAAATGTATGTAGACCTGATCAAGATCCCATGGTTCCTTCGTCCTGGATCATCATGGTCCCTGGTCTACTTAGTCATATGAGGTAGTCGACCCAACCTGACAGAAGAATCCTTGTCGGCAACCATGGGTTGTGTGAGAGCCTGATTTCCTTTCAGGATCGTCCAGGATGAAATGAGATCATTCAGGACGATTAGTACATAATTTATGAACAGAGGAGGTTCGTCCCAGGACGAAATTTGGTTTGTCGAGATGAAATTTATCCAGAGAGCAAATCGTCTAGGAACGAATACACTTCGTCTGGACGAGATTTGTCCAGAGGGAAAATCGTCCCGGGACGAGTAGGAATCGTCCGGGACGATCCTGTTTGATAAGTATCAGATTTGAGATATTTTAAAGAAAGAGAAAAAGCAGGAGAGAGAAAGAGAAGGAAAAAGAGAGGAAAAGGCTTGGTTTTGGAGCTCGCAGTGCACTTTTAGTCTGACGCCGTTGTTGGAAGATTTGTTCACCTCGCAGTAAGGACTCTGAATCCTATTTCTGATTTTAAAGATTTCGAGTTTTAGTATTTCTCTGCTCAGTTTTGTGTTTCCGTTACCGAAAAACGTGTATATCTTTGAATTGACGAAACTTTTACCGCGTAACTTTTGGCATGTATGTTATTGAACTGGTGTTTTGTACGATTTGAGTATTTTCTGGAAAGTTTTCACCATATATTTTGAGTTTTATGCGATTTTTATCGAATAGGAAATTATCTGGACATTGAAAAATATTGCTTCAGTTCAAGTAAAGCTTTGAAATGTTGTTTTATTCGATTTCTAGTAATTTGGTAGTTTTTTGAAACTGTGTATTTTAACTCTATTTGGAATTCTGTCGACTGTACGATATTTTAAGGGTTCTCCTTAATTGAGCTATTTGTATTTGTTGTTATATATACTACTATTACTGAAAGACAAGTGAAGACTGGTTGAATCGTTGGTTGGAGATTGATCTACCTGTACAGGATGGTGGGCCGACGAACTTTCCTTTAAAAAGGGTTTGGTGTTATCCTCTATTGATCATCGATATAACGATTGGGAGTCATAAGGAGTATGCCGACGGGCGAGAGTGACGGCTCTATTGAACCAACGGATACAACGATACAACGATACATCGATATTCCAAGATTGAGGCTCTGACCATGATCGTAATTTAGTGGTGCCATTTAGCGACAAAACAACACGATTGAAAGGGCCTCAATCATAAATGTTTACCTGCGGTGCCATTTGGCAGCAAAATCACCGGTTTGAGGATATGTGTCGCATCCTTACTGAAAGGAGATGATTTGAGAATGAGTCATAGTAATATTTTTTACCAGACATTAGCTCTTAGTGAGCTGAAGTTATATTTGAATTTGTCTATCTCAGCAAACTATTGCAGAGGGTGGATGTATTTTACTTTAAGTATTTGATAGTTGAATTTCGATTTAAATATCTAAAATTTGGAATATTTGGAATTAAATCTCTAGTTTGCAATATTTGGAATATTTGGAATTAAATCTCTAGTTTGCAATATTTGGAATATTTGGAATTAAATCTCTACTTTGCAATTTTTAATCTTTGCAATTTTTAATGTTTGGAATATTTGGAATTAAATCTCTAGTTTTTGGCTCTGCCTGCTACTTTTCTTCGGGGAGGAGTTTTAACGAAATTAAGTTACGGGGTAAATTTTGGGAAGGCATATGGGTTTGTAGATAAGACACTATCCAGAGATTTCGCCCTCATTTAATGAGGACTTTATAATCTGAGTTCTAGTTTCCTATAGGTGCCAGCCCCTATAGTTAATTACACCTCCCGATCACAAGATAGAACTTTCAATTAAGGCTAGTCGTCAATCATATGCATTGTATCCATAGATACGTAGTATCAAACATATAGTTGTAGTATGGGTATGGATATTTGAAAATTGAAGAGTTTGATATTTAAAATTTGAAATTGCACCATCTTGCACTTAAAGTGGATGGTGGGCAAATGTATGTAGACCTGATCAAGATCCCATGGTTCCTTCGTCCCGGATCATCATGGTCCCTGGTCTACTTAGTTAGAGGAGGTAGTCGACCCAACCTGACAGAAGAATCCTTGTCGACAACCATGGGTTGTGTGAGAGCCCGATTTCCTTCCAGGATCATCCAGGACGAAATGGGATCGTTCAGGACGATCAGTACAGAATTTGTGAACAGAGGAGGTTCGTCCCAGGACGAAATTTGGTTTGTCGGGACGAAATTTGTCCAGAGAGCAAATCGTCTAGGAACGAATACACTTCGTCTGGACGAGATTTGTCCAGAGGGCAAATCGTCCCAGGACGAGTAGGAATCGTCCGGGACGATCCTGTTTGATAAGTATCAGATTTGAGATATTTTAAAGAAAGAGAAAAAGCAGGAGAGAGAGAGAGAAGGAAAAAGAGAGGAAAAGGCTTGGTTTTGGAGCTCGCGGTGCACTTGTAGTCCGACGCCGTTGTTGGAAGATTTGTTCGCCTCGCAGTAAGGACTCCGAATCCTATTTCTGATTTTAAAGATTTTGAGTTTTGGTATTTCTCTGCTCAGTTTTGTGTTTCCGTTACCAAAAAACGTGCATATCTTTGTATTGATGAAACTTTTACCGCTTAACTTTTGGCCTGTATGTTATTGAACTAGTGTTTTTGTATGATTTGAGTATTTTCTGGAAAGTTTTCACCAGATATTTTGAGTTATATGCGATTTTTATTGAATTGGAAATTATCTGGACATTGAAAAATATTGCTTCAGTACAAGTAAAGCTTTGAAACGTTGTTTTATTCGATTTCTAGTAATTTGGTAGTTTTCTGAAACTGTGTATTTTAACTCTGTTTGGAATTCTGTCGACTGTACGATATTTTAAGGGTTCTCCTTAATTGAGCTATTTGTATTTGTTGTTATATATACTACTATTACTGAAAGACAAGTGAAGACTGGTTGAATTGTTAGTTGGAGATTGATCTATCTGTACAGGATGGTGTGCCGACGAACTTTCCTTTAAAAAGGGTTTGGTGTTATCCTCTATTGATCATCGATATAACGATTGGGAGTCATAAGG